CCTCTCCTCTCTCTTTTTGTAAATAAAGTATATAATTAAATATGTGTGTGATAGATGGATGGATGGACAGATAGATAACAGATGGATGGATAGATATATAATAGATAGATAGATAGATAGATAGATAGATGGCTAGATAGATAGATAGATGAGGTAGAAGGATAGATAGATAGATAATAAATGGATGTATAATATATAATACTTAGATAGATTGATAGATAGGATGATGGCTAGATAGATAGATAGATGAGGCAGAAGGATAGATAGATAGATAATAGATGGATGGATAATATATAATACTTAGATAGATCAATCTATAGGATGATGGCTAGATAGATAGATAAGATGGATGGTAGATAGATAATAGATGGATGGATAGATATATAATAGATAGATAGATAGATGAGGTAGATTAATAGATAGATAATCGATGGATGGGTAGATATATAATAGATAGGTACATAGACAGATAGCCCTTTGGCCCACACAAGTTTGTTTCCTTTTATTTTTAGTTGACAGGTGTTACTTGTACTTATTTATGGACTACACGTGGGTATTTTGATACATGCATGAGATGTCCAATGATGAAATCCGAGATCCCTTCAAACATTTATAGTTCCTTTGTATTTGGAACATTCAAAATCCTCCCTTCTAGCTGTTTGAAAATATGAAATGAATTATTATTAACCGTAATCACTGTGCAATTCTGTAGACCACTACAAACAATTACTGACACCAAGCTGTGTGTTGTCCAAACTCTCCCTGTCCTCCTGGCCGCTAATAACCACAACCCCCCTCTCTGCTTCTATAAACTTTCCTCAGCTCCCACCTATGAATGCCAGCATGATGTATTTGCTTTCTGTACCTGATTGACTTCCTTTAACATCGTATGAGTACCTATATATCACATTTGCTTCATCCACTCACCTGTTGATGGGTATTTAGGCTGAATTCATACCTGGATGATTGGGAAAAGTGCTGTAGTAAACATAAAGTGTGCTCATGTCTTCAACATACTCATCTATATATTCTTTGGATACCCAGCAGCGGTATTCCATACTTGTAGAATTTTATTTGATTTATCTATTCATGAATTGACAGGTGCTTGGGTTGACTCCTCATCTTGGCAGTTGTGAATTGCAGTACAATAAACATTGTAGTGCAGATGTCTTTTTGAGAGATGCCTAATTGTCAGAACCCTGGATCCAAAGGTAAGTCTTCTTTTAGTTCCTTAAGGAATTTCTGCACCATTTTCCACAGAAGTTTATGAATTTGCAGTCCCACCAACAGCACTAAAGTGTTGCTGTCTCTCTGCCTCCATCCCACCATCCATTTTTTATTGATTTTTCAGGAAAAGCCCTTCTAACAGTGCTAAGGTGCTATCTTGTTGCGATTTTGATTTGCATTTTTTGAGAAACCCGTCTGTGAGTTTTTGCATATTTTTTAATTGGGATGTGTGTTTATTTTGTGCTGATTTGTTTGAGTCCTTTGTAGATTCTGGACATTCGTGCTTTATCAGATGTACAGTGTGAAATGTTCTCTCCCAGTCTGTGGGTTATTATGTGTTTTCAGACTGGGATGTAGGCCTTCTTTTACTGGTAAGTTTAAAATTCTTTTTACATATTCTAGGTATTATTCCTTAGCCAAATATAATATGTGCAAATATTTTCTTAGCTTATATGTCTTTAAAATACTCCCTAATTTTTTTATTAGATAGTCAGAAAATAGTCAGAAAAAGACTATTTTGAGACTTGGCTTCCCTAAAATTTTATCTTGTGAGACTCAACATTTTGTAAGAAGCAATACATTACATTCTTTTTCTTTACACATTTCTATTATAAGAAGAAATATATTTGATTGCTATCTAATTCAATAACATAATTTTATTCAATATCTAAAATGAATTATTGTATATTTTACATTATGTTCCTGGCTAAAGATGTTCATAAACTCTTGAGAATTTTTCTGTGATTCAAGTTGCTATAATTATATTCATCTTTCAGAATTCAATGTAGATTTAACTTGAATAAATTAAAGAGAAAACCCTCAAATTTACAGCATTTTATCTAATATATTAGTAGCAAGAAAGTGCATTGTGAAAATATAGGCATTCACCAGAGTATTTTATTTTTATCTATTTTTAATGAGACCTCCAGCATCAAATATACACACACGTGTGTAAAGGGGTTAAAAAAGCATATTCACTTTGATTCCCCATATCCTTCAAATAAAGAAATATATTTTTTTTTTATTGTTGGGGATTCATTGAGGGTACAAGAAACCAGATTACACTGATTGCATTTGTTAGGTAATGAATACACCGATCTGTATGTGTAATCATAAAATATTCCTATATTTTATAAGTTACAGCATCTGTAATGCTTGTTGCATGTGTACTCTGATCATTAACATAGATTTGTTCGAATTATGAATGTTTCCTAATGATAATACAGTCAATAAGATCAAAATGTTCATCTCATTAAATGATTACTTGATGCAAAAATCATAAAAATGTATAATGTTTTAAAATTTATAGCCCAGCAAATACTTGATCAACATGCAATATCCTTATAGAAAGTAAATACTTTGCTACTTGAGAGCAGAAAGACACATAATGTTAGGTTTTTTAAGAAAATAAAAATACATTTACAATAACAGCAGAGTACATTTATCCACAGGGATTAACGTAGAAAGATATTTCAATGACTTTCTGTAATTTTTAATTACAAATTTGCATTAAAACATGGAAGAAAGCAACGTGTTATTTCTAATGCTTTTCCGAATCTGAGTATTGCCTATCCATTTGTTCATGCAGTGTTTGCACGAAGAATGCCTATGAAATGATTAATGTGTGTTGTTAGGGGAGTAGACAGGTGTGGGGATGGCAGAGTTACAGACAAAAAGAGAGGAAATTCAGCCACAGAAGAAAGATCTTTTGAATAATGCAGGAAATTCCTCCAGGAAAATGCCTTTACAGCTTTACATATTTGACCCTGTGTAAAATCAAAAAGCGACAATAGCTTCCTTCCCTATAGACAGAAGATATTTCTAAAATTCCTATAGGGTAACAAAAAAGGCTGAAAAAAAGGAAAGAAAAGATATGTGTGTCAGATGTCTTAAAGCTCGTCTGTTAAGTAGACTTCCTTGGTACCGGACGAAACCAAGGACAGAAAGAGAAATAGAGGCACAGACCTTGGTGTGGGTGAGATAACAAGTTAATCATCAGTAGATTTACCTTAAAATCATTTCAGACACCTGGGTGGCACCTGTGGCTCACGGGGGTACGGCAATGGCCCCATATGCTGGAGGTGGTGAGTTCAAACCCAGCCCTGGCCAAAAACTGCAAAAAAAAAAAAAAAATGACCTCAAACAATGTCAACACTGATGAAAACAAATACGCCATCCTGGTTACATCTGGAATGTATTAGCAAAAGTGCATTCTCCCTCCCCACAACTTGAATTGATTAGAATTTTTCTTTTATGTGGGCATTAAATTGTCTACTGGTTTCATGTTGATATTGAGTACACTGGATAATTGCTTTTGCATTCTTGTGAGACTTTACTAAGAAGAATGCATTCCTACTCCATCCAGGTTAACAAAAAAGATATGAAGTCTTCATCTTTTTATGACTAAATAGCATTCCATGGTATACAAATACCATAATTTATTAAGCTTTTCCTGGGTTGATGGGCACTGAGGTTGTTTTCACATCTTAGCAATTATAAATTGAGCTGCGATAAACAGTCTATTGCAAACGCCCTTATGATTAAATTATTTTTTTTCTTCTGCAGAGATGCCCAGTAATGGGATTGTAGGATCAAATGGGAGGTCTAATTTGAGTTCTTTGAGGATTCTCCATATTTCCTTACAAAAAGGTTGCATTAGTTTGCAGTCCCCCCAGCAGTATAAAAATGTTCCCTTCTCTCCACATCTATGTCAGCATCTGCAACTTTGGGACTTTGTGATGTGGACCATTCTCACTGGAGTTAGATGATATATCCTGGTGGTTTTGATTTGCATTTCTCTTATGAATGGGGACAATGAGCATTTTTTCCTGAGGTTTCTTAGCCATTCATCTGTCTTCCTCAGAGAAGGTTCTGTTTATATCTCTTGCCCAGTGATAGATGGTTTGCTCTTTTTGTTGTTGTTGTTGATTAATTTAAGTTCTCCGCAGATTCTAGTTAACAGACTCTTTGTCAGATTCATAATGTGCAAATATCTTTTCCCATTCTGCAGGTTGTCTCTCTGCTTTAATTGTGTGAAATCTTAATTTCACCAAAGACAGGCTAAATTCTTGACTGTGTTCAGTGTGTTATCTCAATCTGGCTATTTTGTGATGAATGAAACTCTCATGGTCAACGTCAAGACTATATCAAGGATTGATTAAAGCATTTGAGCAATTTTTCAGTATGTAATCTGTGCGGGGAACATTTTATCACCTTCCTCAGGACGGCGTGATTTATGCGAACATGAGGCAACAACTTGTATCAAAGCTGGACAAGGAGTGCGTGTTGACCCCCGGGTCTTGGGATATGAATGAGAGTAGAAAAGAGAAAGAGAGTTCTTTTTATATCAGCCCTCATCGTAGGGCACTGTTCAAATAAGTTTCTTGATGAACTAATCAAAACACAGGTTCTAATTCTGATATAAATGCAGGGTACACACTTAGGTCTCACATTTCCTTTTTTTCAAAGTCATTGAGTTATAGTTGACAAAACAAGAGATGTAGATGCTTAAAGCATTCTACTTGATGTTTTGATATGTGTATGTACACATGGTGAAGAAATCCACAGAACCAAGGTGATTTTCTCATGTACACAGTAGGTGTCTATTATAGCAGTGTTTGCAATTTTTTCCTTTTTCCTTTTCTTTCCTTCTTTTTTTTTTTTTTTTTGCAGTTTTTGGCCAGTGTAAGGTTTGAAACCACCACCTCCAGTATATGTATGGGGCCAGCGCCATACTCCTTTGAGCCACAGGCACCGCCCTTCTTTCTTTTTTTTTAAATATAAAATGCTTCACCAATTTGCATGTCATTCTTGCACAGGGGCCATGCTAAACTTGTCTATATCTTTCCAATTTTAGTATAGGTGCTGTCCAAGCCAGCACCATTATTTGCGATTTTTGAGAACTAAGTATGTCCAAGAATCACAGTCCTGTGTTGTTTAAGGCCAAGGATATCTTCTGAGAAATGCATTGTGAGTTGATTTCATTATTTGAACATTGTAGAGTAACTTACATGAACCTACAGAGTTTAAATACTTTTTATTTTTCTTTTTATTGTTTCAGGTTCATTGAGGGTATACAAAAGGGGAGAGGATATTTGCAGGTTATATATCTGACAAAGGTTTGATAACCAGAATCCACAGAGAACTCAAACTTATTAATAAAAGAACAAGTGATCCCATTTCATTGTGGGCAAGAGACTTGAACAGAAGCTTCTCTGAAGAAGACAGGCACATGCCCTATAGACCCATGAAAAAATGCTCACCATCTTTAATCATCAGAGAAATGCAAATCAAAACCACTTGGAGATATCATCTAACTCCAGTAACAGGGGCTCAAATGACAAAATCGCAAAACTACAGATGTTGGTGTGGATGTGGAGAAAAGGGAACGCTTCTGCACTGCTGGTGGGAGTGCAAGCTAACACGTCCCTTTTGAAAATAAGTTTGGAGAATACTCAGGGGTCTAAAAGTAGACCTGCCATTTGATCCTGCAATTCTTCTACCAGGAGTATATCCAAAAGACCAAAAATCACAAAGATATTTGCACCAGATTGTTCGTTGCAGCTCAATTCATAATAGCCAAGTCATGAAAGAAGCCCAAGTGCCCATTGACCAATGAATGGATTAATAAATTGTGGTATATGTATACCATGGAATATTATGTAGTCCTAAAAAAAGATGGAGAGGCTCAGTACCTGTGGCTCAAGTGGCTAAAGTGCCAGCCACATACACCTGAGTAGGTGGGTTTGAATCAAGCCTGGGCCTGCCAAACAACAATGAGGGCTACAACCCAAAAATAGCTGGGCATTGTGGGTGCCTGTAGTCCCAGCTACTTGGGAGGTGGAGGCAGGACACTCGCTTGAGCTCAGGAGTTGGAGGCTGCTGTGAGCTGTAATGGCACGGCACTCTACCCGGGGCAACAGCTTGAGGCTCTGTCTCAAAAAAAAAAAAAAAGATGGAGACTTTACCTCTTTATGTTTATATGGATGAAGCTGTAACATATTTTACTTCATAAAGTATCTCAAGAATGGAGGAAAAAGTATCCAATGTACTCTGCAATATTATGAAACCAATTTATAATCACTCCCACTTTTGTATGAAGAATAGATCACATCCATGACCCAAGATGAAGGAGGTAAGAGGAGGGAGATGGGAGGGGAGAGGGGAGGCTTAAGAGAGGGAGGGTGAATGGTGGGATCACATCTATGGTGCATATTGCAAGGGTACATGTTGGATCTATTAAGTATAGAATATAAATGTCTTAACACAATAATTAAGTAAATGAGGTGAGGGATATATTAACCAGTACGATGTAAGCATTCCAAATTATATATGAAATCAGCACATTGTACCGCATAAATACATTAATGTACACATGATCTACCTCTTAATGATTTAATTAAAAAAGAATTAGGTTACATTGATTGCATTTGTTAGGCAAATTCCCTCTTATAATTGTGTCCTGCCCCCAAGAGCTGTGCCAGACACCAAGACCCCCATCCTCCTCCTTCCTCCCCTGTTCCCACTCCCTGTTCCCCCAACCCCCACCTTGAATTGATTTGAGTTTTTCTCTTATGTGGGTGTATATTAGGTCATCTACTGGCTTCATATTAGAATTGAGCACATCAGATTGTTGCTTCTCCATAATTGTGATGCTTTACTAAGAATAATGTGTTCTACCTTCATCCAGGTTAATACAAAAAATGTAAAGTCTCCATCTTTTTAATGGCTGGAGGTGAAAAATCTTTACAAAGAGAATTATGAAACCCTAAGAAAAGAAATAGCAGAAAACATTGACAAATGGAAAAATACATCATGCTCTTGGCTGGGAAGAATCAACACTGTCAAAATGTCTGTTCTAGTCAAAGCAATATACAGGTTCAATGCAATCCTCCTAAAAATACCAACATCATATTTTGAAGAACTGGAAAAAAATGGTACTTTGTTTTGTATGGAACCAGAGAAAAACCCACCCATATAGCCAAGGGTATCCTTAGTAATAAAAACAAAGCCAAAGGCATTAACCCACTAGATTTCAGGCTATATTACAAACCTCAGTAATCAAAACAGTATGGCATTGGCAAAAAAATAGAGCCATGGATATATGAAACAGAATATTTATATATTTTTGTATAAAATCCAAATATTCCAGCACCATGAATGAATACCAATCATCTCCCCTACTTGATGTGCAATGCTAATATCAAATGCCATGTATGAGGTTACTATATAGGGTCCATTATAATCTTATGAGACCACCATCATACCCGCAGTCCAGCACTGACTGAATTGTCCACGCATAGCACACAACCATAGTTAATAACTAACTGTGTGTCTTGTTAAAGAATATGATGCCACTTTGGCATTACAAGAGATGCTCAAATGTGACTTCAATTTTCTTTTGTTATCAGTATATATTATTATAATTAGAGACAGATTTTTTTTTCTTAAAATGTGTATACATTTTTACCACCCTCTGTACATATACTATGTATATATGTTTATATATACATATATATGCACATACACGCTGCATTTATTTAGTTTTCAGGAATATACTCACACACATACACACAGAGAGTGCCAAAAAATGTGTGCATATTTTAAGAAAGAAAAAAATGTATTAAGATTATAATAATACTCTAAAAAAATTAAAATTGAAATACTCAAGTCATGTTGACTATTACAATTACAATATATTGTCATGGTTAATATAAAATAAATATATATATAAATTTAAATGTGTATTACGTATTATATAACATTCACACCATGTTCATAAAATTTTGTGTGCAAATTTTAAATTGCACGTGAACTTTATAAACACTCTGTATTATTTATTTCTCATATTCACTCAAAATTTGCAACATCTAACCTTCCCTTGTATCCCCCCAAGTCATTGGCTATCCTGGTCATCTTTTCAAATCCATTCGTAAGGTGATTTATTTTCTTTTAATTTTCTTGACTTCTCCATAGTGTTAGATGGCTTAGATCGATTATCATAAGTTGTTTCCAATCTCTGGAAATGACGAGAAAAGGTCGCCTGAATAATGTGAGCTGTGCCACTGCCGGCCACAGCTCTATCTGAAGAATAAAGTCCCCAGAGGAAAATCACTGATTCGATTATGAAGTACACCACTTGTCTTGTTGACAGACGTTCCAACTTACACCCCAGACAGGTGACACCTCGCCACAGACGCATCCGCTCACCACACAGGCTGCTTAACTCCGGAGTCTGCCAATCTGGTAGGAAATCTCTCCAGTGCTGACACTGGGATTTGTCTGGCTGTTTCTTCTCCTTGACATATATAATGATGCTCCTTAAATTTGAAATTCAAACCTCATTCCTGAAAAGTCAAGCAGTAGGAGGATGTGTTCATTTGCTTAGTTGTCAAACGAACACGTGTTTGCTGGTAGTTTCCCCCATGTAACTATGAAAGACTCCCTCCATCCTGTTCCACACAGACAAAAATAGCAACAACAGCTGCTGCTGATTACATACTTCACATGAGTCAGGCAACCTTTGGAAGACCAAGGAGGAGCTGATATGTCCTTGACACAACAGCAGGTGTTATCCTTAATCTGATATTTCTAATATCATTAATTTAACATTAACTTATGCACGCACGCAACCCAGGACGTTCACAATACCTTGTAGCTAGCGAGTTAGGAGTGAAAACCTTGCCAAGATGCTTTTCTAATCCCAGCGATCATCTCCACCACCAGGACATATAATGCAAGGTGACAGTTCTATCTCCCACCTCCCAGGCCATCAAGTTGATAAAATCAATCAGCACGGGCCACCCTAACTATCCCATTTTCTCTTTATACACAGAGGTTTTCTATCAACACTTGAATTGATCTGTCTTTCTACCTCCTTGATCAGATTTTTTTTTTTTTTTTTTGAGACAGAGCCTCAAGCTGTTTCTGTGGGTAGAATGCTGCAGCATCACAGCTCACAGCAACCTCCAACTCCTGGGCTCAAGCAATTCTCCTGCCTCTGCCTCCCAAGTAGCTGGGACTACAGGTGCCCACCACAACACCTGGGTATTTTTTTGGTTGCAGCTGTCACTGTTTGGTGGAGCTGAATTCGAACCCCTCAGCGCAGGTATATGTAGGCGGCACCTTAGCTGCTTGAGACACAGGCTCTGAGCCCTTGATTAGATTTTATGTCCTTGATCCATCCTCTTTCCCCTTCCAGAATACTACAAAGATGTCTGTGTTTTGCTTGCATAATTTGCTTCCGTACATTTTTAGTGAAAGTTTTGGTAAAGAGTGCACATCACCCATCAGGTGAGCATTGCACCTGTTAGATGGGAATTTACTCTAGCTCACCCCCTTCCTTCCCTCCACCTGAGTTCTGTTGAGCTTTGCTTCCTTCTCTTAGATTGTTGATCGACTTCTCCCTGCTGAGTATTTTATATAGGTGGTATCTGTTTTTCTGTTCTTTAACTCACTTAGGAGAATGGCCTCTATTCCATCCAGGTTGTTATGAAACATACTAAGGCACCTCTCTGTCTCTCTCTCTCAAGTTCAGGTTAATAGGAGAGTACGAATGATGAGGTTACATTGTTTTCACTTCTAAGCTGAGGTTCAAGTTGTAGCTGAGCCCTTCACCTGGGGGGTGCTGAACACCCTCACATTATGCCCATGAGGTGAGATCCCCACCAATCACCCTCGTTCCTCCCCTCCCCCCTTCTCACCCTCCCCACTGTGCCTAGACTATACTTGTGTTGTTGTTTTTCTTTTCTATGGGTGTGTAAATATCTACATATTATTTTCATATTAGTATTGAGTACATTGACTACTTTTTTCCCTATTCTTGAGATACTTTAGTAAGAAGAATGTTTCATGGCTCAGTGCCGGAAGCACATTGGTTAC